GTCTCCATAAACACTGTTGGTTATGGGCTGTGGCTCAAAGTTTAAATATCTGGAGAACTAGGTGTGACATGAACGCAACTGGAACCACTGGACGGATGGTTTTTATATCCCATCATGCACCAGCCGAGGTGAAAACTAACTGAGTAACTACGGTAACTGATCTTATCTCAAACTGTGAGACGACTGTTGGACTGGTTGAGGAACGGTACCTCCAACAGAACAGAGACAGACGGTCGACAAGAAGGACTTCACGTCACAGAGAGTCACTTTATTACCATCACATCACACAAACACAGCAGGCCTGAAGAGAAGCTCCAGAACTAAAGGACCAATCCACACTTTTATTCTCATTAAATATTCCCACCCTTTACTTCCAGCGACCGCCAACCTTCCCTTTGCCGTGAACCTTTTTACTGCAGGAGGAAGAAGAGGAAGAAGAGGAGGAAAAAAATCATAAAGAGTTTGAGTAAAAGGTTTGAAAACAGAAGAGAAGACGTGAAGTTGGAGTTGGTTCTGTGTTCCAGTCTCTACTTACAATTTCTGAGCGTGTTGGATCCTGTTCAGGAGAACGATGATCTGCAAAAGACAGAACAGACGACTGTGGACGCCACACCATACCATGGGATACCGTACCATGGGATACCGTACCATGGGATACCGTACCATGGGATACCGTACCGTACCGTATCATAGAGTAGGATACAAGGTGATATTATACTATATGGTATTATAAGACAGAATAGGATATTATTATTAATAATAAACCTATCATTTTGATGAGCTATAATTTGACAACATGTGTAGTTCACCGATTTTCCAGCAGGGGTTGAATTCAAATGAAACCCACTGGAAATGAGAATCTTGTGTCTAAACAGATGGAGTTTTACATTTATTATTATTATTACACACCCCCAGGGGGCAGGAGAGGGTGAGCTACACTAAATTCAAAAGGTCAGACTCTGTAAGGTGATTGGTCAACTGTACTGAGGCCCTCTTCAAAGACACAGGAGTACAACAGGAGTACTTTGTCGGAGTATTACCTCATATTTCTGGTGCTTCATGTACTCCATGAAGTCGAACTTCTCCGACTCCAGCTGGTAGATCCAGTTCCACATCTCCTGAGCTCGTTGCCTGGGAAAACAGACAATAAACGATAAAGATGATGACCTAATGACCCAATGACCTAATGACCCGATGACCTAGTGACCCGATGACCCTTTCACTCATCAAGAATCTAACCTTCGAACACATTTAACGCTGCTGTTTGACAACGACAACAACAACAACCACAACAACAACAACAACCACAACATCAACCACAACAACAACCACAACCACAACAACAACAACAACCACAACATCAACCACAACAACAACCACAACCACAACAACCACAACCACAACCACAACAACAACCACAACAACCACCACAGGAGACTCACTTCAGGGCGTCCTCCCTCAGGTCGTCGATGGCCAGAGGCTGTCGTCTGCCGGCCAGGGTCTTCTTCTTGATCTCTTTGCCCGTCAGACGTTTGCCCTTCCTGGTCTCAGCCTGGTGGAGAAAACACACAGGTGTAGGGAGGGGGCTGTACCATTACATCCCCACCGCTGCCCCCTACAGCAGGTGTCTGACCTTGGCCAGGAAGCCTCCAAAGTTTGCCCCGATGCCTGTTAACACTTTCTTCTTCTTGGCATCGTCATCAGCCTTCCTCTTCGCCTCTTCTTCCTCTTTTCTGTGACGTTCCTCCTGAAAAACAGAGACAAACAACTGACATGGAATCAGTGGTTTTCACCAGGAAAACTGTGTGTGTGTGTGTGTGTGTGTTACCGCGATCCTGTTCTGTCGGTCCTTCTCCTTCTCTGCTCTGACCCTCTGAATCTCAGCTCTCTCTGACCGACGACGCTCCTGATGAAGGCAAACAGAAAACAATCATTTCAATTTCAAACAACCTTCAAATGGAGGCAAATCAAAGTCCAACAGGTGAGAAACAGTGACATCTGCTGGTAAAGGTGCAGATTACAACAAGAAAAGGTGACATGATATTCATGCATCAGAAAGAAAGAGAGAATTATGAGTCAATATTAAGAACAATATGATTATGATGATTATTATTAATAAGGTGTGGAATAAAACTCTTTCTCTTTGCTGGTGACAGGATTAAGTTGTGAAAGAACAGACTCCTACGTTTCCACAGACACAGACACAGACTGCTGTGTTGTGTATTTTCGGGCCTGTGTGAATAAAACACACGTTAGTCTGCTCACTATCCTGTCTTTGAGGCCGATGAGCTCCTCCTCGTCCTTCTTCCTCTGCTCAAAGTGGGCGTCGATCAGAGTGTGCAGCTCCAGTAAGTCCTTTTCCATGCGCTTTCTGTGGATGTCCTGTGGGGGCAGCGGTGAGAGGGTTTACTTCAGTGTCGTTCTGATCTGAGTGAAGGTAAACGCTGCTAACGTGACGTAGCTTACATCGAAATCCACCCTGTCTCCTTC